CCGACAGGAGCAGGGGCTCGGGAGCAGCAAACGAGGGTCATGCTTTACGCGGGTTTTAGCAAATGTGCAAGATCCCACCCGCTGCTGGAGCCACACTTCCACCCTGTTCAGAGATGTACCCATATTTCCTAACTTCTACTTGCAGCAGGCGGTAAAGAAGTTAAAACTGAAACTATTTTTTTTCTGTCCCCTAAATCAAATCACCTGTACCCAGAAAAGCAACCTGCAAGCCTGCTTGCATTTTTACCCAGAAGCTTGTAAGGATGAGGAGACTGGGGTCATGACAAAGTTACTGCTGGAAAATTAAACCAGGCAAATTCAGTACTTGCCGGTTTGGTTTTTAATCCTTGCCGAAGGATGCGATAACATCTGGCCACTGCCTTGAGAAGCTGGTTCTGTGCTGGGGGCTGGCACACAGAGATGCCCTGCGACAGGAGGAAGACTGGATTGGCACCACGTGCCTGGAAAGCGGTTTGCAGAGCGAGCGCACCAGGAGGCAGCCTCAAGGCAGGACAGAGTGGACTAAGCTAAGGGTGAGATGCCTGCTACATCCCCCTTGACAGCATAACAAAGGAAATTTAGAAAAAGATTGTCTTGGCACCCCCCCTCCAGCTGAAGGTGGCTGCGGGACAAAGAGCTGTAGTGCTGGACCAGGACGTATGGGACAGTACTGAGGAGAAGTCAACAGCCCGGGCTCCAAGGCCGATGCTCTGCATCTGGAAGTTACATCCTATCCTGTTCACATCAAGAGCAGTGTTTTACTCTAAAAACTGAGCATTCCTACTCAAGAGGATTCAGCTGATGCCTTTTGTGGCACCGAGTACATAACATGAACAGCAAACCAGCCACAAAACCTCATTTTCTACCATCGTGCTGGAGATGAGGAGGTGGGGAGCGTTTCCAAAGACAGCAAAGACACATGCTGGATTGTAGCAAGGACCTGGAGCTTCAGGTTAGTGAAATACAGAAAGGGTGTCATGTCTTACCTTGTCAGAGGACTAGCTTTGTCAAGCCTGGCCCTGTGGGAATAGCTGTGGTCCAGTGAGCATCCCACGAGCAGAGCCTCGAGCAGGAAGCCCAGCTGAAAGCCTTGCCTGGTCCCAGCCAGCCTGGAGATGCTGCAGCAATCGGGGCTCACCCCAGTCAGCTGTGGGCACTTGGGGGCCCACGGGCACAGCCCTTCCAGCCAGGATGTGACACTGAGGGGAGGGCACGGCCCTGCTTGGTTTCAGATCCACATCCTTGACAGCAACACCGTGTTAGGCTCCTCAATGAACATGAAATATTCTGCAGTTTATGGGATTTCATGCTATAATTGCATATATTACTTTAAAATGAAATTTGGCTTTCAATTAGCTCTTTAGTCTATTAGAGGTAGATATTGCAGGTGAAGAAGATTCCAGATACGTTTCCATTTGCAAAGGATGCAATAAAGGGTTGTGAGTAGATCAGTAGTCTTTCATGTTTTAAAAACAAGCAGGATGTTGCTGCCGAGCCCGGAAGAACCGAAGCTCGCAGCTAGACTGAGCAGGGGACGAGGGGCCACAAGCAGGCCAGCTTGGGAAGAGAGGCGGGTGGCTGCATTTGGGAGGCTTTTAAACTGCAACTTATTTACAGCATTTCAGCATTTACAAGGAACAACAGAGGACACAAAATGAACAGAGAAACACCAAATTTTGAAAATAGGTATATTTTAAAATTTGAACCAAGTACAGTTTGGTACAGTTTGCATGTATTGCATGAATCACATGCAGGTGAATACTATAAAAGGTAAAAATACCTGTGCACGTATTTATAAATCCAAGCATTTACATGTAATTTATAAAATTTTCATAGCATAAAATATCTGTGATTCAGAACAGAAATTTTACAGATAAAACTGCATGAATGTCAAACCGTGCCTTTCTTGGGGCCAACTGATTTCACCTCACAGGTTCAACACTCAGCTTGCTGTCAAGTTTTTTTCCCAGTTTTGGTCCCATCCAGTGTGTCCATGTGGTCCCTCCACAGGGCTTCAGCTCTTTATACACCCTTAACAGAAGATGCTTAAAGGTGTTTTAAGGCCTGATGGCAGCACTTCTGTGGTGCATGGGAGAGAAGGAGACTGAGGACGGGACCCAGTGGCTTTGGTAGCCCAAATCCAGTGCTCACCTGAGGGCATGTGTGAGCAGGCTTGTGCCCTGCTGAAAGACTCGATGAAGCTGTTTGCATGCACATGTAAGGGCCGCACAGCCAGATTTAAAACAGTTTATCCAAATCTAAAAATGATCAAAATTTCTGCTTGCATTTCTTCTGGAGACTACCAACCTGGTTTTAAAATCGCACGGCTCTTTCACATGCACACCTCCCGCTCCTCAGACAAAGCTCCCAGCTACCTTTTTTTTAACTTGATTATATTTATCCAAGCAGCCAAACCGATGGCAAAGCACCTCCTTTACATTCTTCAGGTTAATTTTGCTTGCAGCCAGGAAGACGAGCGTAGGTGGTTAAAAAGCTGGCTTTTACGTACGTGCTGCCAGGGAAAGGCATGGGGACCATGCTTGGAGCTCCACAGTCATAGCATGCTGCATTTTTCCAGCCAAGCAGACCGCATTCACCGCTGTATTTCTCAACAGCTCATCGGTCCAACAGCAGATATATATGTTTTTTTTAAACAAGCAGCCTGAGTTACAGTGACGACCCTTCAATGAACACTCCTCGACTGCTATTCTACAAGTGTATACACAGTATTGCAAGATGCATGGAAGACCAACCGTAATGCTGTGCAGCACCAGAAAATGATGGCATCTCACTGCCACACGTTGTAGTCACCAGAGTCACCACTCAGCTCCTTCCACAACGTGGTTTAAGGACACTACTTGTCACCGAGGCCCTGCACAACAGGAAGGGCTTTGTCCCATCTCCTAGACAGGGAAGCTAAATCAGAGTTAAATAGTTTGAACACAAGCCTCAACATTGTGGTAACAGCTCTGCTCCGTTGTATGTAGGTAAAACATCTTTTAGCGCAGGCTTTCATATTACTATTCAAGATGGATTTGTTACAAATAACTTTAAATGTTTTGTGTTGGATTTTTCTTTCTTCTATTTTACTTTTTAGTTGTTTTTTTTAAAGGATTGCAGTGGGTAAAACCATACACACAGAACTAGCCAGGTCCAGTAGTGCCGTCAGAAGACACTATGACAAGCGACAAGTACAATAATCATCAGATTGCGTTAGGGAAATGCACAGCCCTACCCAAGCGTGGCCATCTCTGGTCTCTGCCGATGCTGGTTGCTGAAGAAACCTGCCATCTTGGCCAGCAGGACGCTCCCACTGAAGCCCGACAGTGGGAAGGTACCAGCACTTGAAAGGCTCCACCTCCCTCCATTTCCACATCACCTTCCCATCTTGCGCCGCTCGTCCTTCGCCCCCAGTCCTCAGGGGATAACGGGGTGCAGACAGAGCTCTGCACGTCCCAAGGATGGCTCTTCGCTCTTGGCTGGTGGCCTCTTCGCCCACCCCACCAGCCGCTCACTGCCCTGTGCCCCAGACGCGAGCCCTTCCTTGGCTTGCTCTCCTGCTTTAGCAGGAGCAACCCCGTGGCCAAGCAGGCGGTTTTGCAGCCCACGGGGGCCAGCGTCCCACAGGCACAGCCACGCTTCCCGGCACCCCAACCCCACAGCAAACCAGGCGCTGCTGCCATTCCAGCAGGGATTTTGGCTTTGTACTCTGTGCTTGTCATCTTCAGTCATCTGGGCCAGGGGTCTCTAATTATGGGACACAGCGGGGTCACTGATTTGTAACCCAAAGTTATTTGTGTACAGCGATTCCCACGACTGTTCCATATCAGGTATTTTAGGCCAGTGCAGAAAGGCACAAAACACTTTTTGGTCAAGTTACCAGCCTTGATCGACTCATCGCGTCTCTGAAATAGTGGTGCCATGCGTTACTTTGTAAGGAAGGCGCTGCGCTCACATCAATCCTAACAGCTCGTGCAGCAGCGGCACAATCACAGTAGCAGTGAAGCCAACGGAGGAGTACGTTATAAATTTATACGGCACTTCAACTTCCAGTCGTCTTCGGGCTTCCAGGTCGCCAATGGGAAACTTGTACCGATAACCCAGCATGCCAAGGACCACGCTCTTCATCAGCCGGCGCGTCAGTAGAACAACAAAGATGCCTACAAAGAACCTGGCTAGCACGACCGCCACTATTTTAGTGGTAATCAGAGGAAACCCAAGCTGAAAATTTTCACTGGTGTAGGCTGGCGCAGCATACTGGTTGTTTAACCAAAATCCCACAGTTGCTCCAGCTCCTGCTCCTAAGATAGTAGTGGTGTCTCCCCTGGTAGGGCTGTAATAGTCTAGTTTGGGGTAGTTGTAACATAAGACAAGAGGCACAACTATGGAAAACAGTGGACAGAAGGGACTAGTTAACAGCAAATGATCTATCATGTCCCACACAGGATATAAGACCACGAGCAGCACAGCCGAAATCAGCGCTCCACCGATCACGTCCTGCAAAGAGATCACGTTTAAAAGCTTTGTGAGACCTGGAAGGTAAAACAGAGATTCTTGGGTGATGACAAAACACCAGCATGTGCATTCGCGAGCACGCAGCAGCAGAGGAATGCCCTGAATTCACAGCGATGGCACTGCCCACACACGGTGGCAACCCAGAGCTTGTGCTAAACAAAACATGACAATCTGTGAACCCAACCTTAGCCTTGTCCATGTGAATATATCTATTGTCTCATATTTTTACCCTGGACAGGTGAGATTCTCACCGGCTTTCATGTTTTAAGGGCACTCTCCACCTACGACCTCAGTGGAAAAGGCACGTGCACGGCTCCATCTCAGGGACAATATCACAGTAAGCTGCCTTCCTACAAACCCTTCCTCTCCCATAGTCCTACAAGTAATTTCATTATATCAGTAGGATTGTTGCTCGCTTGCTTTGCATAAACAGGAAGATGCTGTCTGTTGTTAGGGGCAAGCACCCTGTCCAGGAACACAGGCTCCTGGGGAGAAAAGCGCAGAGCTGCGGGACACGGTGCCATGATTTCTGCCCACCGCGGCAAGAGGTAGGCACCGCCGGGCAAGAATACATCAAGGAGAAATTTGTTGCCCACGTCTCTGAAATCTGGCTTGTAGTTAAGAGCCTGAGGCAAGCACATAGTTAAAACCTAATTTATTAACAGAGGCAAATAAGGTGTTTTGAGAACTTGATTGCTGTCAACTGCAAGGCTGGGAAAGGAGAGACGAGCTAACCCCGAACAAAAGCTGTCTGTACGAGGAGCGGCCAGATAAAAAGCAATATAACAAGTTTCCCCTTGCTGCTCTCCCGGCGTTGCTCAGGAGGCAGCGGAATTTGTATTCTGACCATGAAATGCCCTGCAAAAGCTAGCGTTCATCACAGACAGAAATATCCTCTTCTCAAGATTGTGTCTTTTTCATGACAGTTGACCACTACCGTGCTTGGTCACAGTCTGAAATGAATTATTTATGAGAACTTCATTTGTAGTTAGGCAGGAACGAGGGGACTTTTTCACAACAGAAATATTTAATGACTTTCTGGTAAATGCATGACTCCGGTATGGCTGAACTCTAGCTGTTTACAACTTCCAGGCAATGGATTCACAGCACATTTGGTTTTAAGCAACTCCCAGAGCCGTTTTGCATATTCCTAATACATATTTCCGCTTAAATTTATTCCCTCGTCCATGACATGAGCATAGCCATGGACATACACAAAGTTGTTCGCAGATGTCTAATGTGTAAAATACCATTAGGTGTCAATATTTCGCTTCAAGATTTTCAGATTATAACTTTACACACCAAGGCATGTTTTAGCCTAACAGTAAGTAACTGCATTGACACAAAAGAGCTGGGGGTCGCCCCCGGCAGCGGTGCCCAGAGATCCCATCACCTCGGTGCACCTCCGCTTCTCCCCTCACTATTTGTCTGCTTCGTATTAGAGGAAAGAAGTTCTGACATCTCACTATCCCCTCCACGCATGACTAAGGAGTAAAATTCAAAAGCTGTTCACGTGCTTTTCTGTTCCAATTGAAGACATTTAACCAAACATTAACGTTCCCCTAACACACGCTTTGCTCGGATTTGCCCAGCGGACTCCAGCAGTTCCCAGCCGGGGCGCAGACACCCTCTATTTACATTCTGAATTTTATTATCCGCCCGCTCAGCCCCAAGGCAGTAACACAGCCCCTGTAGTTTTCAGGCAGGACCCAGATAACCAGCTCTGCTCCCAGCCCGCGGCTTATACCAGTGGTCTCCCAAGTGAGTGCGCAAGGCAACCCGTTGGGCTGGGGGAAGAAAATACTTTTTGCGCCACCAGTAAAATAGAAAATAGGGAGATACATATTTTTAAGTAGTGTTTACTTCATCCTTACCTCATATTTTTTTTAATTCTATTTTTCTGCATGTTTTATGGTGTATTCATCAATATAGTAATACATGTATATAATTCATAAATAAGTATACCTATATGGGGCATGTATGATAAAAATTTTTTTACTGATAGGGATGCACAATCAAAAAACGATGGAGACTGGCGCTTTGTACTGTTTTTTCCCCCCGTCCAGCAATATACGTGCATCTCATTTTGGAACCTCTTTACTAGAAGCTGACGGGGAGTGTGGGAGGCTCCCGGCCACAGCCTGCGGGAGGGACTCCCTTTGGTTCTGGTACGCCCGGGCAGAGGCTTGATTCTCTGAACACCCAGAAGAGGCGGGTGAGTTCAAGACCAACACTTTACAAAGACATTCAGCAGTGCAGAATTAATTATTTCCCCCCTCGCCTGTTAATCTAAGGAGGAGGTGGGAAGAGAGAGGGGGGATGGCGCTGATTTCTGTGAGAAAAACTGCTTTTCTGGACTCTCCCTGCTGCGCAGCCAGGAGCGGGACCTTAGCTCTTCCCGGCGGAGGAGCTGCTGCTGGCACTCCCAGGAAGCACATTCTTGCCTGTCTGCCTGTGTAAACAGATTAGCCTCTCGCCAAACCCGCAATTATAAAGGAATTTTTAAACGAGGGCAGGCACGGGTTTTGCTCAAGGTGCAGCACTACCAGCAAAGCTCAACACCTGCCGGGATGCTCCCGCTCCCTCAGCACCACAAGTGCCACGGCAGTCCTCCACTGGCTCCATCCTTCCCCAAAAGCCCCGCTACCGCCGTGCAGCTCGGCCCTGCTCCGGCGCAGCACCCCCCCCCGGCTCCCCCACAGCGACGAGCATCTGCCCGGCTCTGACGCACCCATCGATTTTAACTAGAAAGCTGTCATTTTGCTTTGCCACCTAAAGAGTTGGCCAGTATCAAGTTTCTAATGCCACAAGACCTTGAAGTTATTGTCCTGTGCTACAGAGGTACATAAAGAAAAGCAACAGAGGTAAAAATCCGGCTGCGTGCGACGCGTGGGACGCAGGGCTGGGGCGCTTCAGCGTGCTCTCTGCCCATCACCGGGGCTTGTGGGTACCGGGACCGCCAAGTGCGCTGGGCTGGTGGTTTTGTTTTGTTTCACAAGGTCTTAGAGCACAGTTTGTTTCAGGGTTGCAAAAGCATGTGGTCTGGCCTTCCAAAGGCAAGACCATTCTATGATCTCCCCGCTGAAACTGTGGTCGGAGACGCAAACAGTCACAAAATGCCCCCAGGACGTCGAACCGGCACCCCGAATGCGGTGGCACTCCAGCATCTTCCCTGATGCTTCCGATCAAAGCAGAAATAACACTTTTCCTTGTTCTGTCTTGTATTGCCTGAATTCCCATCATGGTTTCACTTACAGCGTGAGACGCTACTCGCTCTTCGAAACAGCAATCCCGTATTTGCTTGCCAGACCTAGAGGTCACTCTCTTTCATCCCACGAGGACTGTTCTGCCACAGTGCGTAACGTGATGCCAATATGTTGTTTGTTATCAGCTTTAAAATATTCAAGATAATTTCAGGATTAATGGCAGTGTGAAAAAACCCAAGATACAGCACAGCAAAATGGGGGAGGGGGCTGCAGAGTACCCTCCCCTGAGGGTGCCATAATCAGCAATAAATGCATCAACACTGGGTCGGTGTATCTCAGGGAAATAAAACCAATGTACTTTGTTTACAGAAACAACTTTCAGGTTTCTTTCTGGTCATAAAAGGTGACCTTTTGACTTCTCCCTGTATCCCCCCCCCGCCACGGCACTGGGCGTTCTGGCTTTCGGACCAGGGCAGCCCAGCGGGGCGGCTGCGGCAGCAGAGAGGTTGTCGCAGCACCAGCTGCAGAGCCCCGAGCCCTGGCCGGGGAGCTCGCGCCGCACCAGGAGGAGACCCGGCGCTGCCGCCGCAGCGGGCACCGAACCCGTTAGCTTGGCACACGGAGAAATTCCCGCTGCTGGCCCTGAAGAGGTAAAAGGCGGCTAAAAAGCCTGCCCCCCGCCTCGGCTTCACCCTCGGCTGGCAAAGGTCTTCCCAGCACAGTTTGCAGGGATCTTGCTCACAACTTTTTGGAGTCCTGTGCCCTCGCATCAGCACCGGCGCTCACCGTTTCAAACGGGAGATGACTCGGATACGCGCCAGCAGCGCTGAGACAGGAAAACTTGTTCATCTCACTGAGACAGGGATCAAAAACTGGGCCAAAGCTTTAAGATGGGGAATAAAGGGATGTTTTCTAAAATACAGTTGTCTGGGGAAAAGAGCAAACAACGACAAAAAAAACCCCATCCTATTGTCACCAATTGCATTTTGTTCCTTAAAAATAAACTCTTACATTAACCAACTACAGATTCTCTGTTTCAAAATGCGTCCACCTTTTCACTTTGCCCTTTCCAGGTAACTCGATTCCCCCTTCGCCAGCTCCTCACGCTCCATCGCTTCGGCTTCTCGCGGTGAGGTGGTGCGGGCGGATTGCTGTGATTAGCTTCTCCCTCACCCGTACCAGTGTGTTGCCTCCGCCCCATTCTCTGGCTGGGCGATGCTTTCCCGGTGGCAGCCAAGGCAACGGGTGTTTATTCCCTTTTCCCTAATCATTCTGTTCGTCCCGATACGGCTATAAGGATGTAGACAGCTCCCGTACCAGTTCGCTGCCTCTCCAGAAGGTCTTCAATGGTAACGTCTCTTCTGCTGATGTGACTGCACTTTTTGAGGCCGCTCCTGACCCGAAAGCAATGCCAGCGGTGCTGAAATACAGACTGATTTGTAGAGCTGAGGCTACAGGAGACGAGCCCCCATACCAGAGCTTTAGCTGTGCCACCACCAAAGCATGGTGCAACCACCTTGCCACTCCTTCTCCGATTCCTCAAACAGGAAAAATTCAGTTACACCAAGTCAGTGGGTATATGTTTTCATATACCCATTCATTTGCTTTACTAAAATATTATAATCGTTTAAGACATCATTACACCCTGCCAGTATTCATTTTCTATTAAGACCTCAGTTAAGAATTCATTAGATACAGGCTGTTTCAGCTGGTGGCTTGGCCAATTGGCCACTGCGCCTTGGCCCCACAGCCTCTCGGGCAGCTCAGGGTGGGAGCCATCCCTCAAAGTGCGGCAAATGGCTCTGAACCGTGCTTCTTCCCCGAAAGAACCCGTCACTGCCGGTGGGACGGCGCCGCGCAGAGTGGGGCTGCATTGGGGCGGCTGTGGCCATCAGACGTTTCCCCAGCTGCATCCCCACCACGGCACGCAAGGGATGAAGACCCCGCTGAAGCACGTTTGGCCTTCTGAAAGGCAGCGTTGCTCACAGTTCAACTAAGGAGCTTTTTCTTTTATTTTAAAGCCCTTTTTTTATCATGTCAAAGGCACAAAGGACTTTTTCTTCTTTACCCTAAAATCCATCTAAATTTAGAGGAGTCTTTCATTATGATGGACCAGCCAGGGAAGTATGCCAAGAATTTTTACTGATTGACTTAAGGTCACTAGCCGAGAAAGGGTGTCTCCAGCTTCGATTTAAGATCTTGTTTTGATCCACTAGGCCTGGAAGGGAAGGTCAAGCTGTATTTTATACATAACCTAACGTCATAAAGGCTCTTACATTCATCAAGTCTCCTTATTAAAAACATAATTATTATTTAGTAAAAAAATGCAACTGTTTATGCATGTGCAATCAACCAATAACGCGTGTCAAACAACTGCGGGGAAGTAGCCGGGAGTTTTTATCCATAGTGAGGCAGCTGGACCACCCCTCTGGCCATTACCTGTAATAGATCAGTAACACTTCCTCTGGTCGGGAAGGGGCCAGCTACTGCCTAATCAAAGGTACACCAAAACCTGGTCTTAAAGCAGGGCTGGCCTCTCCAAACTGCGCCCAGCCAGCCTGTCATATAAAGTCACAGAAATTCTATGTTTATTTTCGGATGAAGTACTTGTGCATCTCAGTCCTTTAAGAACACATTTCCTAGCAGCTGAAAACGAGAAGCTTGGCATAATATTTTTTTAAGTGTCACATCCCTGCGCGGTAACAGGAGACTTGCTGTCCCCCGGCAGCAGCTCACGTGTCACGTTTTACCCTCTCCACCGCTGCCGGCTGGTCGCCGGAGCGACTCCCCCAAAAAAAAGCCGAGCCGCCCCCCCCCCCTGCCATTCCTCCCCTGACACTCCCAGGATACACCAGCCTGGAATATTTCTCGCTGACAACAGTGATACTATTGCACAAAAGGCTTAGCTAAGGAGCAGCATCGCTCGCCTAAGTGCATTCCTCGCAATTAAAATTTCAAAATAGGGAGCTACAGCTCGGATGCCACACCGGCCTCACCCGGCTCCCCAGCGCGCCCGCGCCGCTGCCTCCCCGGCGGTACCGGTAATTCCCCTGCAGGCTCGCACAGCCATAGCCTGAGGCCTTCCCCACAGCCACCCTCAGGCGTACACCTGGAAGGCAGCGGCGTGACTCCTTCATCCCGCGACGGCCCGGCCAAGGCAGGACCCGCATCGCTTGAGGAGCGGGAGGTGGGAGTCGCTGCGGGTGAGCAGAGCTGGAGGCACGACCGGCGCGGCGCATCCTTACCAGGACTGTGTGCATCCCCGTGTAGAGCCTGCTGAGACACACCAGCGTCGAAAACACGAACGCCGCTGCCAAGCCTAGTTCGAACGGATACTGTGGAAAGAGGCGGGGTGGGGGGAGAAATACACACATTACGCTGTTACCCACTTTAACATCAGTATATATCCAAGGTAAAGCATCCAAGCAGCTGGACTGGTGCAAGGATCTCGCGTTGGGAAGCGGCTCTCGAGCTGCACTTTCCCAAAGAGACTAACGTGGCCCAAGATGAGACCTCGCATGGGCCCACGTGCCGCCCTGCCACCCCTTCCGCTACCCGTGGTGCCCACTTCTGCAAAGGTCTGGTCTTGGCACGGGGAACCTGGGGAACAGATGGCATTTGCAGAGTTTTTCCCCACAATATCCACCTGCAAAATCCATGTTAGTGCTAGAGACCTTAAGGAAAAAAGGCACAGCACGTCGTACGAGCGATGCCCGAGGCTGAACTGCAGCCTCAGATCACCCGAGGGGAACGCGACAGCCGCAGAGCCCGACCGGCAGCGTGATCAATAGTCCTCCAGCCGCGACTGGGGCTGGGGGGCTCCTTTCAGTCCGTAAAGGAGATTTTTCTGAAAAAAATAAACCAACCTAAAATGTAAATAAATCAGACTGATTCCCCCGATTTGACACAGAGTCTCCATCTACTGCCGAGAGGCTGACGGCTGACCAGGGCGGCCACAGGTCGGTGCAAAAATGCTTCTGTGGAGATTTTAAGCATAACAACTCACTTCTGACCCTTTCCCCCGGCATACTCTAGCCCCCGAAATAGAGAGCTCGGACCCTCTGCAGATGTCACTCCCAGTTCATAAAACGCTATTTTTGCCTCACTTCTCTAAGCCTTTGGAGGATTTACGCCCACTTTATTCCCCACTCAGCAGGCAGCCTGGGAGCTAGTCCAGATCAGTAATTGGTGACTGGGGCAGCTTGAGAAGATAGCAGCATAATGTACTGGTAGATTTTTCCTTCTTAAGAGAGGCAATTAAATCATTTAATTATTTTACAGCAGCTTTATTGTTTCATGGCAGTTTCCAAGAAGTACGAGACAGCCTGTGAAGAGCTGTCTGTCCCACTGGTAGCTTATCGATCGAGGAGGAGGAGAAAGTGCTGCTGACCGGGTCTTTTTGGCAGATCTGACACATAGGATGGACCTGGCCTCCGAGGGCTGACAAATATCCCATCTCCTGGCTCCTCCTCCCCGTCTGCATCCCATTCCCAAGTTGCTCAGACGAACACCCAAGACCCCATGAGCCCCACTTTCCCCATCTGTCCCCTGGGTACCGGCACCTCCCCAGCCCTGCGCTCCAGCCGGCCAAGACCCTTCTGCAGATGGCCGAGACCCTCCTGCAGATGACCAGCCAAGCGTGCAGGTGCCAGCGCTGGAGGACCTGTAGGCTAGCAGAGCGCAGGCAGGGATGGGGATGGGAGGCAGGAACAGCTGCTGGAAGCACATCGCGGGCAGGGACTGCCGCGGCTGGCGCTGACTCCTTGCGGTAGATGCCTCTGTGTTTATTGCGACATCCCCTGATAAACAGAGGTGATTCGCTCCTTTTATACTGGAAGGCTAAGGCCGGCAACATCGCTTTGGACACCCCTGACCTGCTCACTAACCCCTGCGCCGCGGGCAGGAGCAAAGCCCATGGCTGCACGGCTGGTACCGGATGAGTCCGTGCCTTTGCTCCTCACCTTGAGAAACAACAGCGCTCAACACAACCAGCATCTCCAGCGTCTGCAACGGCTAGCGGTTTGGGACCCTTTCTAAAATGAAGAAACAGGTATTGCTGCATCGTCCCTGCCAAAGGGGCTGTGAGCCCTCTTGATTACATGGGTTTGTCTTTGAAACGCACTTGAGAAGGCTGAGAAACATGCTTAAAGATGACGCAGCCAGGAAGTCATTATTGCCGGAGTACAGGAAACACGTGCTTGGATTCATAAAATGAAACAAAAGTAATCATCATGGAGAAATGAGTTTCGGGAAACAAACCTTTTAGGAAGATAAAAGCCTGAAGGTTTGGGGAAAATAACTATGAGATCTCCCCAGGCAGCCTGCAGCACCAGCACAGTGAAACTACTGCTACTTCTCTGACAAACAGCTCTCAAAGCATGTCATACGCTACTAGCCTAAGGCGGGTTAGAGCCAGGGCATTTCCAAGGATGCTTTTCCCGCACCCTGCAAAAACCAGGGGACACGCAGCTCCTTTGCTTTCCCCAGGAGCTGGCGTTGGCTCAGCGGGCATGGGACAAGCACAAGACACTGACACTGGGCATCTCCTGCGGCAGCACCGCAGCTCCCTCCAGGCTCGCCCCGCGTGGCAAAACACCAAACCGCGGCAGGGCAGCGCAGCCAGCCCGTGGAAGTCTCCCCTAAATTTCTTCTTATGTCTATTACCGGCCAGCTACAGGTAACAGCAGGAAAAAGTACATGTCTGTGAAAATAAACACAGAGCTCCTCTGGAGGCAGCAGCTGCTTTGGACTTGCGAGTTTTCTGTAGCTCTCTGGAAGTAGACAGATGCGTGCTTTTTTTTTTTTTTCCCCTTTTTTTTTTTCACCCCTACCTTGTACTGGTTCACGGTTGCGATGAGAAAGGAGAAGGAGATGGCGGTGGCTGCCATGGCATGGGTGGAAGGCATCCCATACTCTGCATCCGTCCTCATCTCCAGCTTGACGACAGGTGGCGAGAGGGGCCGAGGCCACTTCAGGATGTCCTTGGAGACCTGGCCTATGTACATCACTATCTGCGGAGAGGAGAGGCCACAGGGCTGTCAGTCAGCACGGGCGATCCCCACCCAGCCCACCCAAGAACCACCTCTATTTCTGCGCTTTTTTTCCTGCAAAACCCACCACCCTGAGGACAGGATTTAGCCCTTGAATTATTAA